CTAACCCCTCCCAAATCCCCCCTAGCCTGGTGCTGGAGATGGTACAACCACCAATGTAATAGTCCTGCATAGGACCCCTTAGGACAGGGTTTCCCTACCTATAGGTTGCGACCCAAATATGGGTCACCATTACATTTCAAAAGGGTCACCAAGTGTCTCCCCAGGTGGCTTTGTCCCCCCATTTCCCCCCGTTTTTGAATTGCCTTGGGTCACCAAGTCTTCCGGAATTGTCAAAATGGGTTCCCATCTGGAAAAAGTTGGGATCCGCTGCCTTAGGACGTCCCTGCCTTTGCCAGCCCTGTGTCCTACAACGTGCATGTCACCCCCACCGCGGCCTGCCAGAGATGCGCTTGCTTCCGTCCCAGACACCCCCTTGGGATTGTCACTTGATGTGCTGAGACACTGTGGAGCCCACCTTCCTGCCCTCCTGGGGGCCCCTCAACTCTGCCCTGCTGGGCCAAGCCTCCAGCCTCCTCTAGCACTGACAGAGCCGGGGTTACAGCCCTCTGCCATCTGGGCAACGGGTGATGTAGGCAAGGGAAGGCATTGCCTTCCCAAAAGCACCTACACTCCCTACTGGCTGCCTAAGAGGGTTGGGGCCATGGTGTGGCTGCCCCAGCTGCTCAGGCTGCCTGGGAATGGTGGGGCCATGCCACCCACTGGTGTTGAGTGGCTCCATCTGGGGGGAGAGGAAGGAATGGGCGTGGCCTCTGGCAGAAGGGGTGTGGCCTCTGGTGGGAGGGGTACCGAGAGGGCCACACCCCTTCCTTATCCCTCCAGGTAACAATTACTTATACTGGATTTAATAATAAACAAAAGAGATTTATAAAAGGCAGGATGTATGTGGTCATAGGAGCAGACAGAACAAAGTAGGTGGCTAAACGAAATAAAACAGAGCCCGCAAACGACACATCATACACTAAGAAACTGGTTACATGGGACATCTCACCTCAGTTGTTCTGATGAGTGTTGTTCCCAGACTGGAAAGGCTGCTAGTCTGGACTTAAACCTTCCCTCAGTTTACTCTTGGATGTTTCCAGCAGTCACCTTGGGTGGAGTAGCCAGGGGGCACTCACAACCTGCATTACCTCACTCCTCCTTCACCAGGAATCCTCACTGCTTAGTTTAAACCTATTCCGACTTTCGGTGGGAAGGGGCAGCCTCCAAGATGGCTCCCAGCATCAGGTGACATGGCCGCATGTCTTGGTAGGACCAACCGTGGTCCCTCCTCCCAGGCTTACAGGACAAACCAGTCTATTCACAGATGATTGTTCTGAGTACTGGGCCATTAAGCTCCTTGAGGACTACTAATTGCCTTCACTTAATGGACTACATTAGTAATACAGGTTTATACTTCATATTTCTAACTTCAAATACAGGAAGGGTCTATGCATACAAATGGGAGAGCCACATTCGGCAAATTATAACCACACGTCATGTGGCTTACCATTGGAATCTCGCCTAACGGGTATTCTAGTTATGCCCTGTTCAGAACCCTATTTTCATAACGCCTATGGAATACCCCCTGATGGAAGGGTTGACTCAAACTCCCATCCTGGGGAAATCCAGAGACTGATATTGAACATCAATGGCTGGACCCATCTCTTCCTGAGCCCTGTCGTGGGTGGCGGAGCTGTGTGGAGTCAGGGAGGACCGGCATCTAAACAGGCCCTCTCTAGTCTTTGCTCTTACTGCTTTGGTACATGGCTACTTTGCCGGTTCAGCTTTGTGAAGAAAGCCTCCATGCAGACCCCAGCCCTCACCAGTTGGTACTTAGCTTCTTGTTTAGGACTGGGGGAGGAGGTACCCCCTAGGTAATGTGTCTAGAGTCCCAGCCAATCAGTAGCTACATCCCAGCTATCCTCGGGTCATGTTCTGCATAGACTAAGTCCATAAACCATGGCCCAGCGCTCAAACCAACTCACATGATGAGCCTGGTCCAGATAGAAGCAAGATTGTTTTTCCGTGCCCCTGATGCGTGTTAACTTTGGGCTGGCAAGTTGGGTTGCTTCCTTTGTGAGGCATTTTCTCTCCGATGCAGCTCTGCTTTCATGCTGAGTCAGGCCACCTGGCCCTGCATCTTGTCTTCTGACAGGGGCCAATACAGACACTTCAAGGGGAATGAACAGAAAAGGGCAGTGAGACTCAGACAAACAGAGCACAGGGCTGCATCCATGATGATCTTGGCTAATAGCCTCCAGGACTTATCCTCCGTGAACTTACCTAATTCTTTTTTTAAATCCAGTTATAGTGCTGGCCTTCACAACATCCCCTGGCAAGGAGTTCCACAGGTTGACACTGCACTGCAGACGTGCTCCCTGTTGTTTGTTTTTAAACCTGCTGCCTGTTCATTATGTGGGGGGACCCCCATGTTCTTGTGTTACATGAAAGGCCAATAACACTCCTTCTGCACATCATTCGTGATTTTATAGACCCCTGTCCTACAACCCCTTCATCGTCTCTTGTCTAAGATGAACAGCGCATCTTTTTATGCGCTCCTCATGTGAAAGCAGGTCCAAAGCCCTCATCCTATTTGTTACCTTCTCTGGACCTTTCCCATTTCTAATGCATCTTCTTAGGAGATGGGGCAACCAGAACGGAACATGATATTCGAGGTGTGGGCGTCCCACGCAGGTATAGAGTGGCGTTCTGACATTTACTGTGTTTATTCTCGATCTTTCTCTCCCTTCTGTCACCCCGAATCCAGATTTCCCTGCAGTATTATTCCGGCGGACAGTGGTATCACACCTGTGGCGGGACGTTGCTGAGGCCGAACTGGGTGGTCACTGCAGCTCACTGTGTGAGCAGGTAATGGAGACCACAGTGGCGGACGTAGCAGCGCACACAGGAGACTGTACTCTGGGGAGGGCCGTGGTCAGACATAGATAGACGCAGGGGTAAAGCGGAGCTGATCTTGGGCACTTTTAGCAGAGGATGAGTTGGGTTCCCCCGTCCCTTAGCCTGGGATTTCGGTTCTACGCCGGCAGCATTCTCGACTGCCTCTCGTGCATCTTCATGGGCAGGGCCCTACCAATTTTACAGCCATGCAAAATGCATCACAGTCTGGGAAATCCAAGGTCTTCCCATAAAATCTGGCCTTTCCAGTGCTTTACCCTACTGGTTTCTCAAATTGGTGGGCCTGACCCATAAGGGCATTGCAGGGGGATCCCAAGATTATTTGGGGCGGGAGCTCACAGTCTTGCCACCCTTACTTCTGCGCTGCCTTCACAGCTGGGCAGCTGGAGGCAGTAATGGTTGTAATGTTGTGGTTGCAATGTGGTTGCGGTTATAATGTGGACCAGGCGGGGTAGCAGTCCCACAACCCCCTACAATAACCTTGTGACCCCCACACAGCTGCTTTTCGCAAATGAATTCCAGCTCGTCAGTTTCTCTCTGCAGTCGGGTTTTGATGTTTTTCTTTCTGACAATGGCAACTTGCAACCCTGAATCAAGGTCTACACCAAGGATGGGGAACCTCAGGCCTGAGGGCCAGATGCACCCCCCCCCAGTTTACGTGGGTCTGGCCCTCTTATACACACACAGCCTTGATCTACTAGCCTGGGCCCTTCTGTTGCGCAAGGCGAATGTGGGGAGTGTTTTCCCCTTCTCAGGCGGGTGCCACATCAGTGAGGGTTTGGGTTTTGTTTTCATTTGAGTGCAGCCCCTGACTGATTTTTCTCACACCCCGATCTAAACAAACACATGAAATAGTTCTCGCATTACAATGGGTAATTTCCCATCAGGGACTCTCACCTTGTCCCTGCTGCTGGAGAGGAGTCACATCCATTCTGATTTACTTAGTACTAATGTCACACTCCCATCTCTGTAGCCTTTATTTTTTCTGTCTTTCTTTTTCTCTTCCGCATCTAAGGAAGTGGGTTGTTGCACACGAAAGCTTAGGATCCAATTATTTCACTAATTGCCCATCTCAGAGTGTCTTGAACAGTGTTTCTTAAACTTTTTGAGACTGAGGAACACCAAATAATAATAATTTTTACGAGGCACACCAAGGATTTTTTTTTTTTTTTTTGGAGAAAAAAAAGTCGGGGGGTAAAAGGGTTATGGGGAAAGTTATTGAGCCAAAAAAAAAAAGGTTGCCTTCCCCTTTAAGGTGGGCCATTTTGAACTCCATTATTCTCTGCGGCACACCTCCGACTGCCTCACGGCACACCAGTGTGCCACACAACACAGTTTAAGAAACACTGGTCTTGAACTTTCTTCTAGAGCCGCTAGTTCTAGCCTCACAGATAAGACTTTATTACTTTTTATCGTGTATCTATTTAATAATTCAAACCCTGTCTGGAAGCCTGTTCTCAGGCTTCTGTGAATTCCTGGATCCACTAGGGTGATATCTGTGTGATTCCTACTCAAGGAAGGATGGACAAGTGATTGGGACACTAGTCTAGGACTTGGGAGACCAAGGTTTGGTTCCCTACTCTGCCACTGACTTCTTGTGAGACCTCAAGCAAGTCACTTAGCCTCTCTCTGTCTCAGTTCCCCATCTGTAAAATGGGATCAGTGATACTTTCCTGCCTCTCAGAGATGTTGCAAGGATAAATATATAATGACAGTGAAGATCTCCTGCTCAAAAGAGTTATAGATGAGTTAATAACTAACATTATGTTCAGAACCCTTCCCTTCCAAATTAGAGGAAGGAAGACAAGTTCACATTCCAATGGCACCACGATGCCATCAGGACTTGCAGGTGAAGGGGGGCTGACACCACGTAGGCACCTTCCCATCCAATGGCACCACGATGCCATCAGGACTTGCGGGTGAAGGGGGGGCTGACACCACGTAGGCATCTTCCCACGCGTCACAGCTTGTTCCTCGTCTCCCTAGAGCCCTGACTTTCCGGGTGGTGGTCGGCGAACACAACCTCAATGAAAACGACGGCACCGAGCAGTATCTGAGGGTGGGGAAAAAGTTCATCCACCCATATTGGGACAAGAACAATGCAGCCACAGGGTAAGACGCTTCCCGTATCCCATCGGCCACCAATTGGGCTTGATTTCCCATCTACGGTGACCCAGGGGAAGAAATAAGAACATGCTGCCCCTGGAGCTCCCTGCATCTGAGAACCTCAATGACCCAAGAACCACCCAAGGGGGCACCCGATATCAACTGTGTCCAAAAATCTTCAGTGGCATCAGAAACCATCTTTGGAGCAGGTCCCACTCCCAGGCTCCTTGGCTGGCCCGAGAGCACAGCTCAGACCAGAAGAGGAGGGTTAAGAGCCGGGGGAGGGAGAGAGGCCTGGGCAGAACCATGTTTGGAAATGGTGAAAGCGGACTCCAGTTGGGCCGGTGTCTTCATACAGCTCCAACGGGCACCCTGGCTGGTTTGGGCCTGGGTGTTTTCCAATGCACACCGTCTCGGGTAATAGTAAGCCGCCTCTGGCCGACTGGCTGATGGGGAGGTAGACTCCCAAAGGCTCTGCAATGCTCCTACATTAGGCTGGCAATGAGTGCGGGTACTTTGCTACCTTTTCAAGCATCTGCTTAATAAGACGAGGCCCGGTGCCGGGTCCTTATTCAGTCCCCTGCACTGTCCTTCCACGGGTGTGAGGAAGAGACTCAGAAGTCAGCCCTTTCCGTGTGTTCTTCATGGGTAGGACCTTACGCAGGGCCTTCCCTAGGGGGTGCAGACCCTTGGACAACCCCCCATGTGTCCCTGCTCCACACACACACACCCTGAGTGATGGGGCCCCAAGGACTAGCAGGGATTGCGCCCTACCCCGTACTCACAGGGGGTGACGTCGCTCCATTTCCTGTTGCTACTTCCTCTCCCCCCTTCCCCAAGCAACGGGGGAGCGACCAGATGGCTCTGCTTCCCACCACCAGTGAGGGCAGGGGTGGGCCGCACAAGGTCCCCCAGGCCAGCCCTCAGCCCCACTGGACCCCCCATAACCTCTGAGCCTGAGAAATTCACAGCCATGAAAAATGCGTCACAGACCGTGAAATCTGGTCTGTTCTGTGCTCTTACCCTACCTTACCCTAGATGTCATGGGGGAGGCCAGCATGTCTCAAACGAGGGCTCCTGACCCGAAAAGGCCTTGCGGGGGAGGGCCAGGCCCCTAGCTCAGAAGGCAGGCTGGAAATACCATACCATGCCACCTTGGTCTTCTGCACTGCTGCCTTCAGAGCGGGGCGCCCGGAGCCTGGCAGCTGCTGACCCGAGGGCCCAGCTCTGCAGGCAGCAGTGGAGAAGTGAGGGGGGGAACCCCATCCCCAGCCATCCTTTCTTCTTCAGTGGTGCTGGCGGCAGCTCTGCCTTCAGAGCTGGGCTCCCGGCCAGCAGCCGCTGCTCCCCAGCTGCCCAGCTCTCCGAGAAATAAGGATAATGGTGCCACAAACCCCACCCCTCACAATAACTTTCGGGCTGCCACGCAACTCCTTTTTGCATCTGGACCTTTGCAAGTACAACTCCATGACATTTCAGATTTCAATAGCTGAAATCATCACGTGTCATATTTTTAAAGCCTCATGACTGTGAAATTGACCAACACAGACCTATGGATGGGACATTAGGACTCAGTTGTTCAAAAGAGCTAAGAGTTAGGCGCCTGCTCCCATTTTCTTCCATTTGATTTGGGCTGGGTTCCCGCCAGCCTTGATGTCAGTGGAAGAGCCTGCCCGTCGGCTAGAAGGGGAATCACTTCAAAGCCACCAATTTTCTCTCATTTCTCAAATGCCGGTGAAAGACCGTTCGGTGCAACTTCCTTTGTTTCTCCGCAGCTACGACATCGCTCTGCTCCGCCTCTCCCAGAGCGCGACTCTGAACGACTACGTGCAGCCGGGCGCTCTGCCCAGAGCAGGCCAGGTTCTGCCAAACAACTATCCCTGCTACATCACCGGCTGGGGCTTGACCAGCAGTAAGTGCTGTCATCTATATACGTATGTTTTAGAGGTTTGTGTCTGTCTGTGAGTCTGCTTCTGCAAGAACTTCTCCTAAGTGGTAAGAGCTAGGACCAGCAAATTTGGTACCCAGCTTCCTCTTCTATCTTAAATCAGGTTTGGTTGTGCCAGGACAATGGGATGTGCCTGGAATTTGATTGTTTTCCATCACATGGACAGGGAGGGGGAGAGAGAGGAGGGACATGACCTTCATGCTCACCACTGGGGGCAGCGAGCACAGGAGAGGGCTATCCTGCAGAGTTACCACTGAGAGCAGTCTCTGTCTGTCTCTCCCCTCCCTTTAATCAGTTAATGGGTTAAATTAAATGGGATTTTACAGCTCTAACATGGGGTTCTCCTGCACTCCCCTTTCGTTGTGGAGCCCAGCCTCACGGCAGCCTCTAGAACCTCCTGATTTTCCAGGAACTGCACCAGACTAGAGCAAATTTCAGCCTGGTCTAGGCCTCATTCTCATCTTGCTTAACACTGGGGTAATGCCACTGAAGTGGCATGCCATTTACACTGCTAGAAAGGAGCCCAGAATCAGGCCCGGGAAATGGCCTGTTGTTTGGGGATCCTGAGACTTCTCCATAACAATCCAGACTGACTCCAATCGCCAGCTTCAGAGATTATTGAAAGCAAATTCCCAGCCAAGTTTTATAGCCATGACTCCATCATAGGGGCGGGATTAGTGCAGCAAAGCTCGTTTAGCAGATGAGACGCTGGCTAACGAATAAGAAAATGAAAAGGGATCCTAGGTCCTGGAGTTTGTTGTGTCTGATCCTGCCACCCAGAACTTCACAGGAGACACCTTCCTTGTCAACTAACCCCAGGTCTCCACTGTGTTTTGCGCAGCCAACGGAGAGCTGCCTGCAATCCTGCAGCAAGCTTTGGCCTCCGTCGTGTCTTACGAAATCTGCTCCACTCCACCATACTGGGGCAATACAGTCAAGAAAACCATGGTGTGCGCTGGTGGGGACGGCATCACCTCTGGGTGCCAGGTAACTGTGGAGTATCTCCTTGGAGGACCTGTCTGTCTGTCTATCCCCGTACACCCCTTTCTTTCTTTCTCTTTTCTCTTTTCTCTTTTCTTGTCTTTCTTTTTCTTTTAGTCTTTGTTCTTTCTTTCTCTTTTCTCTTTTCGTTCTTTCTTCTCTTTTCTCGTCTTTGTTCTTTCTTTCTTTTGTTCTTCTTTTATCTTTTCTTGTCTTTCTTTCTCTTTCTTTCTTTTTTCTCTTTTCTCGTCTTTCTTTCTTTCTGTCTTTTTCTTTCTTTCTTTCTGTCTTTCTCTTTCTTTCTTTCTGTCTTTCTCTTTCTTTCTGTCTTTTTCTTTCTTTCTTTCTTTCTTTCTTTCTTTCTTTCTTTCTTTCTTTTTCTTTCTTTTTCTTTCTTTTTCTTTCTCTTTTGTCTTTTCTTGTCTTTCTTTCTTTTCGCTCATAGATTGTCGACTTCCCTGGGGAAGGGAGGAAGACATGGAGCCTTGGAGGCGTTTGGAGGTTGTCTGTTGGAAAGTGTGAGGAAGGGCACTGCTGTTTGTTGCAATATGTGTCACATTGTGTTGCCCTTTTGGATTTGCTCTGCAGGGTGATTCGGGGGGCCCATTGTACTGCCAAGTGAATGGCAGGTGGTACGTCCATGGAGTTACCAGTTTTGTCTCCATCTTCGGCTGTAACGTCTACCAGAAGCCCACGGTGTTCACCCGGACATCTGCCTACATTTCCTGGATAAGTAATGTAAGCTGGCTTTGCTTGGAAGGGGAACTGCTATGAGGAAACGCCCCACTGGACAATTCTTGCTTGCAATGCTTTTCTTATGATGAGATCAGCTGTTCCGAGCCAACGGCAGGACGTGTGGCTCTTAAATGCAGAAGAGCGTGGCTAGAAACGCTCACCGCGCATGGATCTATGGCACGAGCCATGTGTTTTTTCCACACCAATCTGTCCTCTGAGGCTGAATCTGCCAAGAGCTGCTTCTCTGCAGGGCATTGCTTCAGGGGATCTCTGAGTGCCTTCCACTTCCTTTGTGGAATTATTTATGAGCAGGCGTGACAGAGGTCTCCTTGAGACTGTCACTTGATGGGCTGATCCTACTGCTGACCCTGCCTCTCTGGGGCGCTTCCTTCAACCCAGGCTGTCCTGCTGAGGCAGAAGCTCTGGTTTCCCCCATCAAAGGCACAGAGTTGGGGTAACAGCCCCCCAGCAGAGCTACACAGACACTGAGAACAGGGTTGATCACAGGGACCTGACACAGTGCCCCCAATGGGACCAGAACCAGGCTAAATCCATCTCCCTCTGCCTAAAAGTGCTATACAAAGCAAGCTTGTATGGTGTTTGCCTCCTTTCTCAATGAAAGACAGATGCACAGCTGTTATTCTGTGCACACGCATGCACACACACACACACACAGCCAATTAACAATTATTTACACTGGATTTGATGATAAAGTTATTGTATTAAGGATGCAAAGGACGATTTCAGTGGTCACAAGTGATGACAGACAGCTCAAAGTCAGTTACTAAGCTAAAATAGAATAAAACCCATCAGCTAAGCCTAATCCATGAAGAGAAATTGTTACAGATCGAATTTTTCTCACCCTAGTTCTTCTTTTCAGGTCGGAGCTGTTCACTCTGACCTGGGTCCAGCATAGAACTGGAAGGGACCTCAAGAGGTCATCAAGTCCAGTCCCCTGCCCTCCCGGCAGGACCAAGCACCATCTTCTAGATCATCCCTGAGAGATTTCTATCTAACCTGTTCTTAAATATCTCCAGTGACAGAGATTCTACAACCTCTTTAGGCAGTTTATCTCCACCCCGTCTTTGGTGTTCTTCTGTTTCTGGGTCTTTTTGTGTATTTTCTTAGGGTGGGGAACAGTCTGTGAAGCTAGCTGAAGACAATCCTTGTTTGCTTCCCGTTCCTTATATAGAATTTTCCCAGGGCAGGATGTCTTGTTCAATTCTCCATACCACCATGGAAAAGCACACAACTCAAGATAGATTCTAGCACCGCAAGGCAGAGTCACATGTCTTGGTAGGACCAACCATAGTCCTGGTTTATAGGGGGGAAATGGACTGTTCACAGATCATTGCCTTGAGCACTGGGCTATTAAGTTCCTTGCGTCTTGCTAATAGTTTTCATGAGCACAACTAGAGAGATAAATGGGTGTATGCTTCATATTTCAAACTTCACATCCAAAAATTATCCATGCACACACATAGAATAGACACATTCAGCGAACTGCAAGCTTTTCAATGACAGGTTCCATGCCAAATTTTGCATAAAGGATATTTGAGTTATGCAATTTCATATTCAAAAATATATGTCGACAAAAACAGGGGGGCTGTGATCCTGCACCTCTCTCCTGCATTTACTGCTAGAAGGTTGGATGCTGTCCAATCTGGAGGCAATCTGTGGCCAATCTCCTCTTTTCTGAACAAGTCCTCTGCTACCATGTTTCCCTCTCTTGTAACATGTATAATCTCCAAGTAGAATTCTTGCAGGAGCGGGCTAGGAATTTGGAGTTTCTGGTCCTATTCAGCCATATTAATGGAGAATAGTTTGTCAGAATTCTAAAACACCTGTAGATGAAGTAGGGTCTTCAGATGCTTGACAGCCCACACGAGGGCATAACACTCTTTTTCTATGACAGAGTAAATCTGGTCAGGAGGGGCCCGCATTTTGCTTAGGAGGGCAACACTGTGTTTCTTGTCCTCCTGAGGGTGTATGAGAATCGCCCCTCGGCCGTGCACAGAGCAAAAGTCTGATCAAAGTCATGGCTGGCTACCACAGGGGTTGATGACTCAAGTGGTTTTTATCTTATCAAAGACCTTCTGGTCCTCTGATCAAATCTTCTTAGCAGTTTGGTGCTTTTATACAAGTCTGTGATTGGGGCTACAATTTTGCTGAACCCCTCCCCCCCAACTGCCTGTAATACTTTGCCAAGCCTATGAAGGATTGGACCACCCCACCCAATGCCCTAGATAAGGGATCTTTGCTGCCCAGCCTCTTTGAGTTTTGACAGCGCCCCTGCAGCAGCTCCTAGCGGTCATCCCAGCTAGCTCAGGGGTGGGCAATAAAATCATAGAATCATAGAATACCAGGACTGGAAGGGACCTCGAGAGGTCATCGAGTCCAGCCCCCCGCCCTCAAGGCAGGACCAAGCTCCGTCTACACCATCCCTGACAGATGTCTATCTAACCTGTTCTTAAATATCTCCAGAGAGGGAGATTCCACCACCTCCCTTGGCAATTTATTCCAATATTTGACCATCCTGACAGTTAGGAATTTTTTCCTAATGTCCAATCTAAACCTCCCCTGCTGCACTTTAAGCCCATTACTCCTTGTCCTGTCCTCAGAAACCAAGAGGAACAAATTTTCGCCTTCCTCCTTGTGACACCCTTTTAGATATTTGAAAACCGCTATCATGTCCCCCCTTAATCTTCTTTTTTCCAAACTAAACAAGCCCAGTTCATGAAGCCTGCATAGGTCATGTTCTCTAAACCTTTAATCATTCTTGTCGCTCTTCTCTGTACCCTTTCCAATTTCTCCACATCTTTCTTGAAATGTGGCGCCCAGAACTGGACACAGTACTCCAGCTGAGGCCTAACTAGTGCAGAGTAGAGCAGCAGAATGACTTCACGAGTTTTGCTTACAACACACCTGTTGATACAACCTAGAATCATATTTGCTTTTTTTGCAACAGCATCACACTGTTGACTCATATTCAACTTGTGGTCCACTATGACCCCTAGATCCCTTTCCGCCATGCTCCTTCCTAGACAGTCGCTTCCCATCTTGTATGTATGGAACTGATTGTTCCTTCCTAAGTGGAGCACTTTGCATTTCTCTTTATTAAACCTCATCCTGTTTACCTCTGACCATTTCTCTAACTTGCTAAGGTCATTTTGAGTTATGTCCCTATCCTCCAAAGAAGTTGCAACCCCACCCAGTTTGGTGTCATCTGCGAACTTAATAAGCGTACTCTCTATCCCAATATCTACATCATTGATGAAGATATTGAACAGTACGGGTCCCAAAACAGACCCTTGCGGAACTCCACTTGTTATCCCTTTCCAGCAGGATTTAGCACCGTTAACAACAACTCTCTGACTACGGTTATCCAGCCAATTATGCACCCACCTTATCGTGGCCCTATCTAAGTTATATTTGCCTAGTTTATCAATAAGAATATCATGCGAGACCGTATCAAATGCCTTACTAAAGTCTAGGTATATGACATCCACCGCTTCTCCCTTATCCACAAGGCTCGTTATCCTATCAAAGAAAGCTATCAGATTAGTTTGGCATGACTTGTTCTTCACAAACCCATGCTGGCTATTCCCTATCACTTTATTACTTTCCAAGTGTTTGCACACGATTTCCTTAATGAGGAAATGAGGGTGGCTCACCAGGTGGACCGCTGCCGCTATATTTACCTGCCCCTCCACAGGTACGGGCGATTGTAGCTCCCATTGGCTGGGAATGGTGATATGCAGCCAATGGGAGCTCTGATTCCCCCATGCTTGTGGAGGCGCAGGTAAATACGGCCATGGGGGGGAGGCCCGCCAGGGGCTGACCCTGGCAGACTGGATCCGGCCCTTGGGCCAGTATTTGCCCACTCCTGAGCTAGGCCATCTATATAAGTCCTTACAAACCAGTTGATCAGTCTCTGGATGGTCGCCCCTGCATTTACCAAACCAAAAGGTAACACCGTGAATTCAGAGAGCCCTGGGCCAGTGATGAGGGTGGATTCTGCTGTGCCTCCCTTTCCAGAGGGATCTGCCGGTAACCCCTCAGTAAATCAAAAGCACTGAGATATCTGGCTCAGCTTAGCACGCCCAGCATGTCCTCAGTTCTGGGCATGAGGAATGCATCAGTTACGGTAACGGCGTTAAGCTTCCTACCGTCCACACAGAATTTTCCGCTGCTCCGTTTGGCATAACGCAGATCTGAGCGATGCTCATTCAGATACAAAGCCAGAACAATGTGGGGGGTACAATATAAGGTGTTTCCACCAGAGTGTTGGTTCCCAGATGGGATCTTTAGCCTGCATAAGGAAGCCCAATACAAGTCGGGCTCGGCACCGGCTAAAGGTGAGATTCTAAGGCCCGTGTGAGACAGGCGGTTGGCCCACGGGACCCCAACGTCCTTGTAGCCTGAAAGTTCACAGGAGAGGGGGCTCATTGCAGAGGGCGTGAGGCTCCTAGCAGCTGTTCCTCACAGTCTGTGCCAAACCCCAGAGCTGCACGTCAGGATGCTGGGACCTTTGGCTGGGAGCTGACATTTTCGAGTTGGCCACCTGCAGCCTTCCCACCTTAGAGACGTCACAGCCTCCGCGTCGCTCCTGCCTCCGACGGGGGCCACGCGTGGGAAGCAGCCTGATGTGGTGGGTTGTTTTTTTCTTCTTTCAGATAATCAACTCCAACTGAAGAGGCTTAACAGCTGGGATCCACCTCAGAGAAGAACCCCTTTCGCTAATCGCAATATGCGCCCACGCTCCCCGTCTTCATCTTCTCTGCCGCCCATCAGCGCCATCCCTAGCGGGGGACTGGGACCAAGGCAACCCCCCTCTCCCACTACAGGCTCTGCCCCCTGCTCTTACTTTGCTCCGCCCCCTGCCCTTATTCTGCTCCGCCTCTTGCTCTTACTTTGCTCCGCCCCCTGCCCTTATTCTGCTCCGCCTCTTGCTCTTACTTTGCTCCGCCCCCTGCCCTTATTCTGCTCCGCCTCTTGCTCTTACTTTGCTCCGCCCCCTGCCCTTATTCTGCTCCGCCTCTTGCTCTTACTTTGCTCCGCCCCCTGCCCTTATTCTGCTCCGCCTCTTGCTCTTACTTTGCTCCGCCCCCTGCCCTTATTCTGCTCCGCCTCTTGCTCTTACTTTGCTCCGCCCCCTGCCCTTATTCTGCTCCGCCTCTTGCTCTTACTTTGCTCCGCCCCCTGCCCTTATTCTGCTCCGCCTCTTGCTCTTACTTTGCTCCGCCCCCTGCCCTTATTCTGCTCCGCCTCTTGCTCTTACTTTGCTCCGCCCCCTGCCCTTATTCTGCTCCGCCTCTTGCTCTTACTTTGCTCCGCCCCCTGCCCTTATTCTGCTCCGCCTCTTGCTCTTACTTTGCTCCGCCCCCTGCCCTTATTCTGCTCCGCCTCTTGCTCTTACTTTGCTCCGCCCCCTGCCCTTATTCTGCTCCGCCTCTTGCTCTTACTTTGCTCCGCCCCCTGCCCTTATTCTGCTCCGCCTCTTGCTCTTACTTTGCTCCGCCCCCTGCCCTTATTCTGCTCCGCCTCTTGCTCTTACTTTGCTCCGCCCCCTGCCCTTATTCTGCTCCGCCTCTTGCTCTTACTTTGCTCCGCCCCCTGCCCTTATTCTGCTCCGCCTCTTGCTCTTACTTTGCTCCGCCCTCTGCCCTTATTCTGCTCCGCCCCTTGCTCTTACTTTGCTCTGCCCCCTGCCTTTATTCTGCTCCACCCTTGCTCTTACTCTGCTCCGCCCCCCCACCCTGCCCTCACTCCATCCATTGCCCCAGGCCCTGAGCAACACTAGCCAGGGAATGACTGGGAGCCGGGCACCAGGGATCAGCCTCACCACAGCCATGGGAGCCAGAGCAACCCAGCAGCCTGCTCCGCTCCATCCTGGCTGCCCCTGCTTGCTGCACAGTGGTGCTCCAGCTCACACTACTGTAGGGAGTGCGGGGGGAGGGAGGGCTGCCTCCCTTCTGCCGCCCTGTGACAGCCAGTCCCTCCCGGGGGCCGGCAGGCTGGGAGCCATCGCAGCTATCCCGTTTGGTCGGCGGGGTTACTCCCGCAACTCCAATGCCAATAAACCCCTGTGAAAACGACTCTCTTCTCCGTTCAGTTGCGAAGACGCCACATACACAAAGCTCCTTTCTTCTCCGGGCGCCAGGGAAGGGTCCCTGTATGCCAACACTACAGCAACGTGTCCTGCGTCCTTTGGACGGCCTGGGCAGTCGTGAGCTGTCCCGTTTGGAGCACTAATTGCATCCAGCAGCGAGAAGGCCTTTGGTGTCCTGATTTACCAGGGCTTTCCCGCACCAGGGAAATCCACCAATGCATCCGTCTTAGCCTCTCCCACGGCGCCATTAACCCAAGTATCGAAGGACCCCCCCCGCCCTCCGTGGACAGCTTGTTAGGGGCCCTGAATTTGACACCAAGAGTTTTGACCATTCACAAAATGGGGGAAAGAGGAGAGTTGATGGTGGCAGATGGCACTTTCTTCTCCTCTCCCTCCCCCCCATAACCATTAGCAGAGGTAAAAAATAACTTACAATTTCTTATGGTTACTTTCACATCACAGCCCTCCCTGGGGGGGGCCCTCAGGAAGGGGGGGTTGTGATACAACAGTACCTGTAAGAAATTTAAGTGTGGGGTGGCATGCAGGGCAGGCTCAGAGGGTTGAGGTGGGGGGGGCTCCAGGCAGGGGGCTGGCAGTGTGTGTGGGGGGGGGGAGGAGCTCAGGGCCAAGGGTCGGTGTGCGCAGAGGGGTGCAGGAGTCAGGGCTGGGGTTGGGGGTGTGAGGGGTTCAGGGCAGGTGGTTAGGGGCGGGGGTGTGTGTTGGGGGGGGGCAGGAAGGGCAGGGGGAGCTGAAGCCCTTGTCACTCTCAGGGAGTGATAGGAAAGTACCGAGCTCCTCTGCCCCCGCGCCCTTCCCAGCCAGAGGGAGGAGGGCTGCAAACGGGGCATTCCCCCTCACTTCCTGACACAAGCAGCATCCCCATAGGCATCCCAGAGGTGGAGGGAGGTTCGGCCCCTCCCCTTCCCTCCCTACATGGCACCGGGGGCAGCTTGGGGGCAGGCACAGACCCGGATCAGCACGGGGCGGTCCGGTCCACGCGTGTAGCTCCCGGGCACTACAACCAGGCCACTCAGGAAGGGATGTTCCAAAAAGCTTTTTTCCCAAAGGTCAGGACAGTCGTACCGATACGAGGCCGGATTCTCAGCTGGTGGGAAGCAACCCAGCCCCAAAGGAGCGATGCCAATTTGCACCAACAGAGATGGGGCCTGTTCGAGGTTAAAAACCACGGCCTGAAAACAGTGATGAGAGAAATATACGAGATTCAGATTTCATCGAATACTAAAACTGCAAGGGGCCTTGAGGTCATCAGGTCCTCCGTCGCGGCAGGGCCAAGTATCACCTGGATCATCCCTGACAGGTGTCTGTCCAACCTGCTCTTAAATATCTCCAGGGATGGAGATTCCACAACCCCCCTAGGCAATTTAGTCCAGTGTTTAGCCACACTGACAGCTAGGAAGTTTTTCCTAATGTCCGACCTCAACCTCCCTTGCTGCAGTTTAAGCCCATTGCTTCTTGTCCTGTCCTCAGAGACCAAGGAGAACAATTTTTCCTCCTTGTAACACCCTTTTAGGGACTTGAAACTGCTCTCATGTCCCCTCTCAGTCTTCTCTTCTCCAAACTAAACAAACCCAATTCTTTCCGTCTTCCCTCGCAGCTCATGTTCTCTAGACTCTTCAAAAAATACAGAGATGGGAACAATAGAACCTCAAGAAAATATGGAAATGGGAGATGCCGGTGAGCCTTTTGACAAGAGCCAGAGAGATTCGTGGAGGTTAGATCCAGCAATACTGATTAGCCAGGATGGGCAGGAATAGTGTCCCTAGCCTCAGTTTATCAGGGGCTGGGAATGGGTGACAAGGGAGGGATCCCTTGGTGATCCCTGTTCTGTTTGCTCCCTCTGCGGCACCTGGCACTGGCCGCTGTGGGCAGACAGGACACTGGGCCGAAGGGACCTTTGGTCTGACCCGTCTGGCCGTTCTTCTGTTCTTTAAGGTCTTTCTTTGATCCCGTCGCTCGGGAGCACCGTGTCGTGGTCTTTCACTGAAAGCCTCCCCCCAAATCCAGCCCCCCGAACAGCGTTTTCCTTGGACGGAGTAAACAGGGGCTGCTCCGCATTGAGCCGGGGGCCGGGGGGAAATGAAACACTCCCTGATATGATGGTGAGGCGGATGCCGAGCTGGGTGACAGCTGCCTGCCTCTTTACTTCCTCCCCCCGAAACCTTTCAAACCACAAGCGCAGACTGAGCACAGAGAGCGCCGGGAGCTGCAGTCATGGCGGTGACCGCTTTTTTTTTTTTGGTCGTTTCCGTGCCGTGGCAAGGAATGCGCCGAGCGCAGCCTTCCACTTTCCACGGCCTCGCGTCTCCAGGCGCTGAGACGCACAAGCTGCAACGTGGCAAGGGGGTGGAGGCCGGTTTGGAGCCTTCGCCCTGTGTCCTCCCTAATCCCCAGCGCTTTCACAATCCTGCTGGCATGTGTCGACCGCTTTTTTTTTTTTGGTCGTTTCCGTGCCGTGGCAAGGAATGCGCCGAGCGCAGCCTTCCACTTTCCACGGCCTCGCGTCTCCAGGCGCTGAGACGCACAAGCTGCAACGTGGCAAGGGGGTGGAGGCCGGTTTGGAGCCTTCGCCCTGTGTCCTCCCTAATCCCCAGCGCTTTCACAATCCTGCTGGCATGTGTCATTCAATGGCCTTATGAAATAGGATGCGGAGACAGTGGCTTCCAGGGACTAAGGGAGGTGACCTTGGCAGCGACTGGAGATTTAACCCTGCGTCTATGGGCCTGGCTTGACTTCCACCGAGCGCTGCCAACACTGACGCCTTGAGTTGACCTACCTCTGAAGGTCTCGGAGGGGTTGATTTACGGTGTTACCCTCCAAACCTTCCCCAAACGCCTGCGACTGGCCCTCCCCAAAATGCCTGCTGCCGTGTGGCATCTGCCTGCGAGTACGGAGTGGCCGAAGGCAGGTCCGTGGGAAGGACCCAGTGCGGGGCGAGAGGCTGGAGAGGGGCATTCACTCCTAAAATGCGTCAACCGCCTCAACTCTTGAACTGTATCAGGGAGAGATGGGGGGCTGGGTTCAGGAAGTGGGTAGAACGAGAACTAGTCTTGGCAGGTTCCTCCAGCCTTGGTATTTCTTCCTGTTTAAGTGCCACATCTCCAAACGCACGGCCAGGGGTGGTTGTTTTTTTTGCCTGTGTCGCGCTGGCTGAGGATGAACCCAGCTCAGGACGGAGCCGCCCCGAATCTCTGAGCAAAGCACCGAGTCAGGATATCAAATCCCGTTGAATCAGCTAAATGATTAAATTTTTTTTTAACGGGGGGTACTGCTCGGACCAGGCTGGAGCCACGGTTAACCATTCACATCCCTAGCACAGAAATAATTTCCTGACTCCATGTCGCAGAGGAGGAATTCCCCGCTCTGGCTGAGTGACGTTTGGTAGCTGGTGGTAGCACGGTGCGGATATCAGTTAGGGGTAGTTGCCAGCTGGTTTCCTTTGTCTTGTAATAAGTTTCTACAATGCTCAGTGATCTGGGATTCTGTCCTAGTATGGCCTCTACAGCCCTAGAAATGACAGATTAGCTAATGCCTTGCATCGCCTCCTGCCAGTTCCCTCATGGGGGCAGCCTTAACTGGCCTCCATCTTGCCATAGTATCTGAGTTTCACTGACTAGGGCCGACGGGTCACATAATAGGGGTTTCCCAGCTGTTGGCGTCAGTGGGGAGCAAAGACTGCATGCGATCTTTGTCAGTGGGGAGCAAAGACTGCATGCGACCTTTAAGCCAAAGGAAGTATTTCTTCATACAATGCACGGGCAACCTGTGGAACTCCTCGCCAGAGGAGGTGGTGAAGTCCAAGACTATACCAGAGATCCAAAAAAGAACTAGATGAATTCATGGAGGATAATTCCAGCGATGGCTATGAGTCAGGATGGGCAGGAATGGTGTCCTCTGTTTGCCAGAAGCTGGCAATGGTTGACAGGGGATGGATCACCTGATGATTCTCGGTGCTGAAGCACCTGGAAGACAGGACACTGGGCAAGATGGACCTTTGGCCTCACCCGGTTTGGCTGTTCCCATCACTGCAGCAGATGTAAACCTATCCGAGCTAGCTTTGCCCTAGCTAAGTGGGGTACCAATAGTAATGAAGCCATGACAGGGTCCCACACAGGATTCTGGATACATACTCTGGCAACTAGCCCTAACCCACGCTACAGTAGCTTCCCTCCTCCTAGTACCTACAGTCGCAAGATCAAAGCTAGCGTGGGTCTATCGACACGTGTTGCAGCGGTGACATGGCCAGAGGCCGGGTGGGGAAGCTTGGCCCTGCTCTACTTGATCTTTGGGATAATTAGTAGGTTCCAGTCTCCAGAACTGTCCATGTGACTCCATTTGCCTGCACGTGCCCGTCGGCCTGTGGAAGTCTGCAACGTTCTTCTGGGGGAAGCGCCGTCTTCTGCTTCCCCGGCCTGTAAATCGCTTTGGAATTGGCTTCACGGCTGTGTGCATGTTTGGGCAGCTGTCGGACGGAGCTGCTAGTTTTCAGCTACATGCCGGTAGCGCTGCACGGTGCAGCTGTCGGACGGAGCTGCTAGTTTTCAGCTACATGCTGGTAGCGCTGGCGCTCCACCTCCACAGTTCAGATGTGTGACAATGCAGGGAGGTGTTTGCACTTGTGAGACCACAGCTGCAGGCAAGAAACGTTTGAGCCCGCCAGAAAGCGGTGCAGTGCAGTGCTTAACTATGAAAAAACGGTCAAGCAGCAATGGGCTAAATTGCAGCAAGGGAGGTTGAGGTTGGACATTAGGAAAAACTTCCCAATTGTCAGGGTCAAACGCTGGAATAAATTGCCTGGGGGCAGTTGTGGAATCTCCATCCCTGGAGATATTTAAGAACAAGGTGAACAGACACGTGTCAGGGATGATCTAGACGGTGCTTGGTCCTGCCGCGAGGGTGGGGGACTGGACTTGACGCCCTCTCGGGGTCCCTTCCAGTTCTCAGATTCTATGGACTTTCATTTGGTCTCTAGAAGAGAGAGGAAGTGGTTTGGAAAAAAAGCCTTTGGAACTCCCGGAGACTCAATTGTTGTTTGCTGCCCCTTCTTGGGTTCCCTTCTTGCTCTACAGCTCTGCCACAGCCTTCCTGGGAGACATTTGGCATTTCCCTTCATCTCTCTGTGTCTTCCATCACAAGACGGGAGACCGACTCGTAGGGGTGAGGACGATAAATGTGAAAAATGTTGAGACGCTCCATGGTCCCCCGCCTCCTGCACCCCCGTAGTGGCACGAACCGACTCCACCAGCCAGTAGAACAGAGGGAATTTATTGCTTCTCCAGGATACAGCACAGCACAGATGGAATCTGGTTACAGGAACTGGGGCTATGAGGCCTCAGTGCCCCCTTTGAGATGGGGGGTGGCTGGGCCCTACAATCCCAGCTCCCTCCCTAGCTCCTTTTCCCCTGCTTCCCAGACTGAAACTAAAACTCTTCCAGCCCTGCCCCCCAGCCAGGGGCAGCATTCCACCTTCCTTTGGGGGGTAGCTGGTCGGACAGGTTGAGAGATCCTTGCCTAGTGACTCATCCCCTGCCCTCCTGGGCCGTGCTACAGACAGCAGCCAGTAGGGGTCACCCACAGCCCCAGCATAGCAACCAGCAAGGTGCCCCCACTCCGTCACAGCTCACATGGTTGCGTTAATTCTGTGCTTGTTGCACTTGTTTATGGTAGAAATGCCGTGGAGTTTGATAACCTGGATAGAATTTCTACACGTTGCACAAAACATCCAGGGCCAGGCATCAGCTGAAGGATATGTGCTGAGGCTGCTGGAAGAGGCTACCTAGATGTGGTTCCTCCACAGCATAGAGGGAAACTTTTTCCTCTTCCTGGAGAGACGCTAAGTAGTGACCGGGGAAGAAATATTTGATGAGCAGAGAAAGGGAGAACACGTCCCGTGGCTAGAGGCGAAGCAGAGTCAGATCGGAAATAAGACGGACTGGTTTAACAGCAACGATAATTAATCATTACAAAAAAGTGAGCAAGGGTCAAGGCGGGTAACTCCATCGCTGGCAATTGTTTCATTTGGGATTGGATGTTTTCGGTAGCAGAGATGCTCTAGTTCCTAGAACCATCCTGAAGGAGGTGGGGGGCCAGGGGTAATCTCCGCCACCTTCGTGCCCACGGTGTAGGGCTCGGGGCAACTTCCCACCCCGTTGCAAGCTCCGCCCCTCACCCAAGCCCTGCCCCTGCTCTGCTCCCACCCCATCCTTTTACCCCAGCAACATGCCCCAAGGAATTATGGGAGTCTAGTGCAGCAGCAATAGGGGTCCTCCCCGCATCTTTGCAAACACAAACAGCAGGAACCGGTGCACCCAATGGCAAGGTGCTTTGCTTCCCACTGCCGTGGAGAAGCTGAGTGCAGCAGGGCCAGGAGATGGGGGCAAGGCAGAGCCAAGGGGCGGAGTGGCTTCCGGGTGAGTGTGGGAGAGTGGGCGAGGGGTCCCCTGCTGTCTCCACCACTCTGCTAGCCACGGATGCTACGCCCTTCATCATTCTCTACGTCCGTCCCCCAGCCGCACCACGCGGTTGCAATTGTTCCGGAGCACAGCTGATGCCAAAGGGAAGGAAGCGGAGATTTTCCTCCGCCCGCCATCTTCCCTGCACGACTCGCGCTTGCAGCTGGTTTAAGTGTCCGCCCGACAGACGTTTTTGTCCTTCAGAGCTGGACGTGCATTGACCTTTTACATCTGCAACCTCAGTGGAATTCCCCCAGAGGGAGGTAATTTCCAGGGTTCGAATGGAGATCAGGGCCCCTTTGTGCTGCACGTAGGATGGGAGACAGCGAGGAAATAACTTTCAAACGACTAGTAACTGTGGCTGGATTGCAGTCCTGCCTAGATTCTCCAGCGGAGATCCAGGCCCCGGTATACTAAGAACTGCGTATATTCACCGCGAGCGAATAAAATGGGAACTTCATGGCACTTTATTGCCGATGGAGAATTTTTACCAAGAAGATTTTTTTTAACCGTGCCTCTTTTTCTGTCCCCAGGTTTTGCAGAAACTGGGCAAGACCGTAGAAACCAAAGATGAGCAGTTTGAACAGAGCGCTTACAATTTCCAGCAGCAACAGGTGGGGTCTGCTGGCAGGGAGGGAAGGCGGGATCCTGGGATATATAGGGGCAATGGGACAGTGTGAGTGGGGGGCGGGGTCTCCTAAAACATGGGAGGAGTCAGGAACATGGGGAGGTGCTCAGAGATATGAGGTCATGGGGCACTGGGGGAAGGAGAGGTGATGAAGTGAGATGAAGTGAAAGTGTAGTAGATCAGGCACGAGGGGCAGAGGGGGTCTGATGAGGTACTGGTGGAGGGAAACTGAGGCAGGGAAAGGTCAGAGGGAGTCTGGTTTTCTTTCAAAATCACTCTCTGGTTTAACTAGCCCCAACAGGACAAATGCAGCCAGCCCAGAAATCGGAGCATGTAGGCTACATGGATAGGAGAGTCTACAGCTAAAAGGCATTCAGACTTCTGATTGGTTAGAACCTGCTCCCTGTTCATCAACGGTTAGGAACAGGAAACGATGCCACCGGGACCCACACCTGCTTCCCCACACCCCTGGCTGGCAACAACATGCCCTGTCCCGCACCAACTCAACCACAAAGTTTACCTTATTCCTCCTTTATGGTTTCTCCTACCACCATCTGATGCCCCTTTATTACAAAAAGGCAGAAGAAAAATTGTTCTCCTTAATCTCTGAAGATAGGGGAAGCAGCTGGGGGCTTAAATTGCAGCGAGGGAAGTTGAGGTTGGACATTAGGAAAAACTTCCTCCCTGTCAGGGTGGAGAAGCTCTAGAATAAATTGCTGAGGTGGGAGGTTGTGGAAACAAGATCAGGTTAAACAAACATCTGTCAGGGATAGATAATACTCAGGCCTGGTCTACGCTATGCTCTCCTGTCGATTTAAGACCCGCAGCTTCAGCTACACAAATAGATCTATTTACTTAGACCGACTTACTGCGGTGCCTTCCATGCAGTAAGGTTGGCCACTGATGTTCGCCCATTGACTCCGCCTACTCGTCTCGTCCTGGTGGAGTAGCCAAGTCAACGGGAGAGCACTCAGAGGTTGATTTACCGCATCTAAGCAGACATGATAAGTCAACTGCCAGTAGATTGATCACTCTCCGCATCTAAGCAGACATGATAAGTCAACTGCCGGTCGACTGATCACTGCAGCATCAATCCACAGTGTAGTAGAGACAAGCTCTCAAACCTGAGGATTGGACTAGAGGACCTCTCAAAATTGCTTGCAGTCCTACCATTCTATGAGTCTGGTTAGAACTGGATTTTCCATTTTGTGGAAATTTGCGTCATTCTGAAATCTTTTTTTCTGTCCTGAAATGGAAAGAAAACAAAAAAATTCCAAAATTTCCCCATGAAACAAGTCCGGTCCAGTGCCATGCAAGGGTTTATTCTGCGGATGTTGAAACATTTCATTCCATTTTCCACGGTTATAAAACTTTTCATTGGAAACATAACAAAGCCGCCCATGATGACATCATCTAAACGTTTTGTTTCGGGAGCCGGGGGAAGGGTTCTCAATGAAATGTTCTGAAATTTACATGCTCAAGAGCGGCATTTTTAGTAAGAGAAACTGAATTCCCAGCCATCTCAACCCTTGATTCTTCAGAAAATTTCTTTCAGTCCTCTCCATTCACTTCCCCCGCTGTGATGAAACAATACATTTTGCCTCTTGCTGTTGCAAATCTTGGTGGCAGTTCTTTGCTTTTCAGATTGAAGGCCACAAACTCTACAAGGATCTCAGAGCCTTTCTCAGTGCTGTGAAAGGTAGGAAAGGCCACTTGGGTCTTCAAACTTACCTGCTGCTGCTTGGTTCCCTGCCCTGTCACTGACACACGATGTGACCAACTCTTAGCCTGGAAAAATCCGAATACTGGCCTAAAAAGGGGAGAGTTTTTTTTTTAAATGTGGGGTTCTTTTTATTTGGCTTCTGACTGTAGTGTCACCCTCAGATCCCATTTTCAAACCTGTCTGTGCAACTGCGAGCCCTAGGAACTTGGTATTTATTTTTAAATTAAAGTTGAGATTTTCCCGTGACTCCAGCAGATGGAACTTTAGGGAAAATATTAAAGACCTCAAGACTTGAGATAAAACAGGCAACACCAAATGCATCCTTTGTATTAGAGAGAGGTTGGGACTTTAGGGAAAATATTAAAGACCTCAAGGCTTGAGATAAAACAGGCAATACCGAATGCATCCTTTGTATTAGAGAGAGGGGTTTGACCCATTTTAGCACTCCAAACCAGGTCTAGGAGCCAAGCACCGTCATGTTCTCATCCCAGCTTTTCGGCTAGCTCCCTATATGACATCTGCTTCACTTTACTGATCCTCAGGGGCGCCCCGTCCATATAGGTGAACTAGGCGGTCACTCTAGTGCCAAGCTAAATGGGCAGCCAAATGGTGGTGCAATATCATTGAGGGGTTTGGAGGTGGGAGCGCCTATTGTATGGTTCGCCTAGGGCGCTAGTTGTTGGCAGATAGTCTAGGGCGACTCCTGCTGATCCTCCATATAACATGCACTTGATGGGGATCTACCTAAATATGTTCCATTGCTGCTGTGTCTGAGGGCGACTCCTGCTGATCCTCCATATAACATGTACATGATGGGGATCTACCTAAGTATGTTCCATTGCTGCTGTGTCTGAACGCTTCACTGTCCTCAATGGACTTTATCATCCCAGCTCCCCTGTGAGGTAAGGCACTGCTATCATCGCTATTTTACAAAAGGGAAACTGAGGCACAAAGAGGCTAAGTGTCTTTTCTGACCTGGTGTAAATCCTAGGTCTCCTGAGTCTCAGTTCTGCTACAGGTTGAACTCCACCCCACCACCTTACCTTCAGGGTGTCCCTTATCCCGCCTTCCACCAGGGCATCTCTATTTTACAAAAGGGAAACTGAGGCACAGAGAGGCTAAGTGTCTTGTCTGACCCAGGTGTAGAACTGAGGGCCCTCGGGACCTGACCAGTGCCGAACCAGAGAATTTGCTGGATCACAGGAGGTCAATATTGCCTAGCAACATTACCAGGCCTTCCACTGCTTGCTGGGCTCGGAGAAGACATGAAGGGGACAATTAGAGCTAAATAAAACACTGAGAGCCAGGACCGAGGGCTGTAAACAAACTTTATGGGACTGTGGGAAATTTGGCAGCACCCTTGATAAGTGGACATGCGGCAACCTGACATCATGCCGGGCGGTGGGAAATTTGGCAGCACCCTTGATAAGCGGACATGCGGCAACCTGACATCATGCCAGGCGACAGATGTTGTCAGACCAGAGTGTGCCAGATTAGAGTGGTTCAACCTGTATTTACACCCGTGTTTGCCCTACCTCCCAGCATTGGAAGACTTGTGGCTGGCCTGTTCAAAGCCTGCCTAGGGGATTTAGACACAAGTCCCGTGCACTTTGGTGGGGCCTTGTGCATCTCGATTCCCAAGGAGGCTTGGAAAAGCTCAGTGTTTAGAAACTGCTTTTCGAAGGAGACAGCTACGCCCTTGTCAATGCTCCTAGAAACTCCTTCTTACCTACTGCCAAGTGGCTGTGTCCGAGATTGGAGAAGTCAGGTAACTTGTCCTCTTTTAACTCCAAGCTGGCTACCTTACCCCAGTCACCTTGTGTCTTATTCTCTTGGGCTCCCCCTGACTTTTGTTAATGCCGGGCTCTTTTATTACTACTGGGTAGGGACACACCACTAGTACCACCTTGCTGACGGGACGCTGGCTTACGGGGTGCTAATGACTCTGGGGTGGAGTTAGCTTTGCCACATGCCAGATTGTCTCTTCCAGTGATGCACGAAAGCTCCAAGAAAGTGGCAGAAACTCTGCACGAAATCTACAGCATGGAATGGGACGGACACGCGGACCTGAAGGCCATTGCGGAGGTAAGAGACGGGATGAAATCTCCCATGGGCAAGAAGCATTAACTAGAAACTCCCCCTTCATTGAAGGGTGGAGTAAGAAGAAGGATTGTCTGGGTAGGGCACTAGCCTGGATTTCAAGAGACCCAGGTTCACGTCTTTGCTCTGCCACCAACTTCCTGTGTGACCTTGGGCAAGTCACTTCACCTCCTTTGTGCCTCAGTTCCCAATCTGTAGAATGGGGATATTATCTCTGTTCTACCTTCCAGGCAGTTGTGCGACAGGGGGAAGGGAAGATACATTAAAAAGCTTGAGATGCTCAAACATTAATGGGGGCCATATGAATACCTAGGATACATAGAAAGGACTTTGCAAGCTGCAATGATTAGGCTGGGGGTGGGGTTAGGGTGTCAAATCTCCCTCCCCCACAACCCAAGGCACATGGCCCCAGCAGTCAGCTGCTTTGAGCGGCCTGGGACTGCGGCGGTCTGAGGGTCCCACTGGGCTCTCGGCCAGAGCCTGCATCTGTGCACATGCCCCCTGCACCTCTCCCCCAGGCCAGAATCCTCTCCTACACCCAGACCCCCTCCTGAACCCTGCACCCCAACCCCAGGTCCCAACCCCCTCCTTTACCCAAACTCCCTCCCAAACCCCACATCCTCTCCTGCACCCCAGTCCTGCACCCCAAGCTCCCTTCGGCACCCAACCTCCCTCCCAGTCCCCACCCACCATAGAAAAGTGCAGCCCTTGACCACTTACCGAAATCTTGGAGCAGCCTCCCCCATCAAAAATCACGGCCCACCCCTGCTGTAGTACCCGAGCCGTCTTTATGGGGTTTATCCTCACAATACCCCCGGCGGGCAAGCAACCGCCTGTGTCACACGGCAGCACAGGGTTGTGGTGTGAGACTCAGCCTGTGACAAACAAGGAGACTGGGTCTCTCATCTCCCACCCTAGCCTGAACCGTCTGGAGCTAAGTGCGGGGTTAGGCGCAGGCCCCTTAACTGTCCCACGTGGGTTTCTTTCCAGAGCAACGACCTCCTCTGGGAAGACTACGAGGAAAAACTAGCTGACCAGGCGGTGAGAACCATGGAGAACTACATAACTCAGTTCGGGGAAATCAAGGTACCGTCCCGTGCGCACGTGCGCTGTGTTTTCAGAAAGCCGCACCCGGGCCCTATTACAGAGTCAAGTAGGGTTGCCAGATGGTTTAACCAAAAATACCTAACACCCTCCTCCCCCCCAAAAAAAAGCCCACCAGGAAATATTCTGTTGAGGAAAAAAAAAAAAAGGGTGCTGTGCCTTTAAATGGCCTCCACGCTCCTCACTCCCCTGCCCCTGCCATATGGGGCAGGGAAAAATTGTCCCTGCTGGGCTTCCATGTGAGGAAAACGGGAAACACCAGGCATTTCACATGTCCGGTACTTTCTGGGGTTTTTACCAGACGGGGGAACCAAATAAGGAACAGCCTGGGCGAAAACCGGACACCTGGCAACCCTGAGTCAAGTAGGAAGCTTTGCAGTAAGCAAACTAGTGCAGGGATGCAGGCCGGGCTGGACCCTGAGCGGTGATGTAAACAGACACTGCACAGTTTGTGGAGGACGCGGCAGCCAGGCGAGGGGACAGCGCACCGTGTGTAAGCCAGTGCCGGGCAACGTGCGGCCCATCGGGGTTCTTTGCGTGGCCCTGTGTTGACTGTTGCCCACGCGCACAGTTGCCAGATCCCGCTGGGTTTCACCTGCGTCGGGTTTTTTCCTCCCCGTGTTACAAAAGTGACACGCACGGGGAGCCGGACAGCATTGTGAGAGCCGTGCATGCCCTCTGCATCCCATCGCAATGCTGCTCTCGATCGGCACCGCCCGCCAGCGCTCGCTAGGCAAGCGCAGTGAGCAAAAGGACCCTGTCCCGGGAGCCCGTCTGGGTTCTGACCATCTGGCAGCCCGCCGGGACAAAGGAGGCCCCTCATGCTAGCCGAGGGGGTCCATCACTGTGCCAGGCACAAGCTACCGGGTCATGATGTGTCCAGGCGTTCAGGGTACAATCGGAGCGGATGATGTGTACAGCAACAGGGTGAAACTCCCTGGAACCAAGCTAAGGTACAGAACGGATCGGTATTACACCTCACTGCGCCCTCTCCTCCTGCACTAACTCGCCTTCCACCCTTTGGTGTCCGGCCAGGAGCGAATCGCTAAGCGGGGGCGGAAGCTGGTGGATTACGACAGTGCCCGGCACCACCTGGAGGCTCTGCAGAATGCCAAGAAGAAAGATGAAGCCAAAATTGCCAAGGTAAAAGGCCGCCCTGGCAGAAAAAAACCTCAGAATCATTCCCATGTAACTCCATTTCTGGCTGGCCCAGGTTAGCCCGGGCTTTTTCCTGGTCCTCACCCTGGCCTAGAATTCTGCTGCTGCACCTCATTACAGCACAAATAATTCCCTCTGTAATGACACGGGTAGAGAGGGGTCATTAAGTGGCTTGTTAATGCTGGCAGGTTAATCAGGTTTTGAAATGCATCTATTTGTGCCTGCGGTTTTTGCTTCTTTCATGCCAAATGTTGGGTTGCGTCCTGGATAAGCATCGTAGAGGCCAGTCTCTGGAGGTTGGTTCTAGCTGCCCAACACATATGGAGTGCCCGTGTGCAAAGATTCTGGGAGCTCCGAGTTCAGATCTTGCCTTCCCTCATCTGTTGCCCTTTTCCAACCCAAGAGACAATGACATCAAGTGGTCGACAAAGAGTGCCAGCTAAAAATCTGCACCTTAGTATATTTGCATCACTGAAAATATGCATCTTAGTATTAATGATAATTGGCATGATGATTAATAATAACATACATGACACCTTGTGCTCATAAGCTTTATGTAATGGGACTTCTGCTGCTGCACCTTTTCACACATTTTTCTGAAGATTACCTCAAAACAGGTCAAATTCAGGTGCATGCCCACACTCAAGCGACATGAGTAATGATGTGTTTTGAAAACTTGGAATTAATTTTTCATTTTAATTTTAAAAGTTGCACGCATTTTGGGATTGACACAAGAGCATAGTTGGTTCCATATTGAGCCAAATTTGGCTCAAGAGTGCTAGGTTGCAGGCCCCTGTGTTACGGCCTCTTCCTCCTTAATTACTGGGGCTACATCTAGATCGGTGTTTCTTAAACTTTTTAAGACCAAGGAACACCAAACAATAATTTTTTTTTTTTATGGGGAACACCAAGGATTTTTTTGTTTGGGGGGGGAAAAAAAAGATGCTCGCCCCTTTAAGGGCAGCCATTCCCCAGGGAAAAGTTGTTGACCAAAAAAAAAAAGCACTGTAAGGGCAGCCATTTTAAATTCTGTTCTCTCCATGGCACACTAGTGTGCCGCAGAACACGCTTTAAGAAATGCTGGTCTAGACTATAAAGAAAAGTCAGAAAAAGATACACAAATTGCGAACTGCTTTTCTTTTGAAAGAGGCTTTTCAAAAATTTGGTGGTGTCTACACGGCGCCAAATTTCAGAAAAACCTGCTTTTTCGAGCCATCCCTTCTTCCGCATAAAACGAGGTTTACAGGGATGGCGAAAGAACACATCCGCTTTTCCAAAAAAAATTTCGGAAAAGCAGACACGTTCTTTGGGCATGACATTGCTTTTCCAGGATACCTCTGGTACCCTAGAAAAGCATTGCAATCTAGATATAGCCTGGGTCTGAAAACTGCTGTCCCCTTCCGTCATGCAGGCCGAAGAGGAGTTCTACAAAGCTCAAGCTGTCTTTGAGGATCTTAACAAAGAACTTCGAGAGGAGCTCCCGGAACTTTATAACAGGTAACGTCGAATCCCAGCCTGCTAACGCCGCCAGGAAATTGCCCTGCTTGAAAGAGCAGCATCCAAAGAGCAAGTTAAACCTAGAAGGACTTGCCTGTAATCTGGAGGCAGAAAAGAGTCTTAATTCATGAGCAGAATGCAGCCTGTCCTGCACAGTGGCAGAGACATGGCAGAGAAACCTAGCTGCGAAATAAACTTCTTTATTCTCCATGTACCCAACTGGAGGATTTGCCTGACAGGCAATAGGGTTTAGTGTTAATGTCTAGACTGGAGGAAAATCTGAGTAAATCTTTAAGCTGTACAATAATCACTGTAACTCTCTCAATTCTGAGGTTCTTGCTGGGAATTCAGAAAAGCAGAGCCATTTGTCTACAAAAAAAAATTAACCTGATGTAAATTAAAAACCTGGCGTTCTAAGAAACACAGGTCCTTGTTATCCTCCTCGCTTCTCGCCTCCAGCTTCTCAAATCGTATCTGTTAAACCCACATCCTCTCTCCCCATCCTAGAGGTAGCCGAGTTGGCTACAGCCAGTTGGGGGTGGGGAGAGATTAGATGAAGCAATTCCACCGCTCAGCGTGGGTTATCTTCTCGACAAGCCATGCAACCGTGTGATACACAACCCAGTGCAACAAACCTCTAGCATACAAGCAAATCTTGCCTCTTGCTTTACCAAACAAGTGTGTCCCAAGGAAAGCTGCTGGCCAAAACCCCTCTCTCTCAAGTTAGATGCCAAACTCTGCGTTAAGACTCTTAAAACGAGGTGTCCCAAAACAGGAACCCAAATGCAGTGGTCCATTTTGAAAACGTGGGCCATCCATCCTCGTGCAAAAGTGCTTTGAAATTTGTTCTTGAACAGTTCGGATGATTGATTGGCCAAAAGATGGCAGTAGAGGTTTACAAACAAGAACAGGGCGGGACGATAATACTGTGTGTTCTATTTGTGCGTTTCTTTGTTTGAAAAGGCAGCGGTAAATGATCTCACCAACTTGAGAAAAACTATGCAATCGACAAGTTACCAAGAGCTGTCATGCATGCCTCCTATCATCACGCCTGGCCTTTCTGACATGCAACTCTCTGCCATGCCTTGTATTAATTTACTGACATATTTCCTGCATTTTAGTTTTCAAGCAGTTTGTATTGGAATAGAACCAGGGCAAGAGCAGTAGTTAATGCTAGCTTCTATCAAGGTCTTTATCAAGCTCTTGCTGCTAAGGTTCTGGACTGAGACTCAGACGATAGAGCTCTGCTCTGTAGAGTCTCATACTGCGCTCAGATGGTATATGGATGAGTGTTTTATAATAAGAACCTATATAGAGCAGAAATCCCAGTAGAGTTTGGCTGGAGAATGGCAGTTCCATTCTGTGGCAGCTTTTGAAATTCGGTTTTTACTCCACATGGGAACAAAAATAAAACCTTTCAAACGTTTTTGTGACCACGGCATTGGGTGGAAATGCCCATTTCAGGTCATAAAAAAAAGTAGGAGTCTGTCTCTCGTCTCCCCTGCTTCCGAAAGTCTGTTCTGGGACCCGGGTAACCACTCCATCAAAGGTCAGTCGAAATAAATGTATTTTCACATTTCGGCTGCAACAAAATGTCATTTTTTGACTAAAACAAATTTTTGACTGAAAAGTTTCCAACCGGCTCTAGAGGCCATTCCTGCCTCTGCCACTGACTGCCTGTTCGGACTTGGGCAGGTCACTTAGCTGCTCCATGCCTCTGTTTTCCTTCCTGAAAAAGCAGGGCGATGATGTCTGTGATTAATATTCTTATATTGGGGACCCAACACTCTACTATGTGAGTGTTTCCCAAACGTTGTATCCTCATCTTATATTGGGGACCCAACACTCTACTACGTGTTTCCCAAACGTTGTATCCTCACGCCACCCCATCCAGGGCAATATTGTCCTCGTTTCACAGAGGAGGAAGTGAACTCAGTAAACAGCTGTTGAAATCAGCGCTGCTGACGCCATGTGGGGCTTGGCACATTCCAGAGGCAAGGAGGGCGGGAGAAAAAATATTCCCTTCCCCCGCCTTGTTGCTCACGGTAGTCCAGCCGGATGTGCCTTGTGCCATCTACCGGTGCACCAGCCAGCTGCCATGACAGCTTCATGTGTTTGTTTTTGCATCAGGGCTTGGCTCAGATCATTTACCAGTTCTCCCTGCTCGGTTCTTTAAGTCACATGGAGAACATACCCAGCCCACGCAGCATCAAGAAAGTTGGGAAAGCCAGTGTACTTCAGGGGTTAACGTAATAGGCTCCTGTTCTCTCTTCTTAGCGCTGCCCTATGCCCACAAGACATTTCATCTCTCGGTACCCCCATGACTCTATCTGTAAAATGGCCCCAGGAATAGTGATGCTGCAATAGTACTGAAACCGTCAAGCAACGCGAAGTCTTGCGCCAAAAGGATGATTAGCGGGAAGATTCGCGTTACTAGTCATCAGTTTAAAAGCCAGAAGGGGTCATGCGGACCCTCAGGTTAAAAAAAAACCCACCAAGGGCTTGTCTTCACTGCTGCAGCGATCAATCCCGTGAGGGTCAATTTTTCATGTCTGTCTAGACATAATAAATCGACAGCCGAGCATGATTCCGTCGACTCCAATACTCCACCAAACCGAGAAGAGTAAGGAGAATTGACGGGACAGCGTCAGCTGTCGACTTACCGCGGTGAAGTTACAGCGCTAAGCAGACCTAGGTACATCCACTTCAGCTATGGTACTCCCGGAGCTGACGTCATGTAACTTAGGTCGACAGGTTGCAGTAGTGTAGACAGGTCCCCAGTAACTTCTTCTGTTTGGGCGAAAGCATTTCTTTTTAAAAAGACAGAGCATGTGAGCTCTAGACTTCAAGAGATGGAGACTCCATCGCAGCCGAAGGTAAGTCGTTCCAATCGTCAGTTACCCCAGCGTTATTCCAACCTCTTCTCTTCCTGTCTTCCGCTTTCTGTTCCTTTCCTCGCACAGTATGACACTTTGCCTTTTTGTTTGTTTCTCCGACTAGCCGAATTGCTTGCTACGTGACAATCTTCCAGAACATTTCCAATTTAAGAGACATCTTTTACAAGGAGATGAGTAAGGTGAGAGACAGCTCTTAAAATAAAAGCTGCTTCCATGACGCACAGAAGAGATGTTTCCCTCGTAATGGGGTCTCAGGTTCTTTTAAAAACTATTCCTCACAGCACTGGCAATAATCACCCACAGCTGCCACTTAGACTAGAGGACAGTCAGAAAGGTAAAACTAAACCAAGGTTTGTATAGTCACCCACCTCTGATGCTAGGTGTTGTCCCTCCCACCCTCAAAAAATGACCAGAAAGGTGTTAACAGGCCACTTTACCTTATACGGTTAATGGCTTATGCTGAACAATTGGTTCCCCCTTGTATGCAGCTGTGGCTCTCAGAATATAGGTCCCAGACCTGGAGAAGAGCACGAAAGCTTGTCTTAGGCTGAGTCTACCCTGGCACTTTATAGCACTGTCCACTCGGGGTGTGGAAAAACACACCCACACACCCCTCCACTGAGCACAGCAAGTTACAGCACTGTAAAACATCCGTGGGAACCAGGCGACAGTGCTGTTAGCCACTCCCCTTGGGGAGGTGGTCTACAGGGTGCACTAGGAGAGCTCTCCCCCAACGCTCACGCCACGGCCACGCTTCCAGTGTAAAGCGCCGCCACCGCACGCCGATAGGCGACGACCTCAACCGCCTTGGCAGCTTAGTCCAGGCATTTTGTATTCCCTTGGAATGTCCTTTTAAACGAATCCGTCTAACGCTGTCAGGCCCGCCGAGCAGGGATGTTAAAATGCGTTTAATCCAATACACGTGGAACCGTGGCAGGGCGGTGGCTCCCTGGGAACCAGGTGCATGGGGAGCTGCCTTTTTAGCCTGTGCATCCTGGGAGCCTGTTTGTAACCATGAAGGTTAACCGATAAGCCCAGCAGTTAACCGTGGACACTTTCCCATCCTTATTGCCGATGGAGGGGGGAAGGGTGTGGAGGCAAAGGGGGCTCCCACCACTGCTACTGCAGCCGCGGTGGCACTCGGTGCCCCAGGCCTTTTAAATCGCCGCTGGAGCACTGTGGAGCATGCCTCAGGTAGCACTGAGGGCTGGCAGTCGCTAGCTCCGCCTCTTCTGCCCGAGGCTCCGCCCTTTCCAGGAGTGTGGAGAGGCTCCCCTCCCCCACCTTGCCCAGGGGCCCTGTGAGGCTTTCGGCTCTCCGGGATGTTGTTTTCGTGGTTGTCAGACAATCCGTGTTCCCTAGAGTCACTAGCCCACCCCAGTGCCGCCAGGGTGACAACTAGCCGACTTTCTCATGTGCACCGTTCGCTTACAGAACAAACGGATTGGGGGTATCAATATCATCCTTGCATTTCAAAGTGGTAGTTGAACCTGCTTCTCGTTTGTGAGCCTGGTTTGAAACCTCCCCCAAAAACCTGTCCCTCAGCCCTGCCTGAGGTTGCACCCCTCAGATGGAGAAAACTGACCTAGATGAGTTGAGTACCCCCTGAAGTCCTCTGCATATCCGCAGGGATCCGTGTTCCCCTGGTTGAGAACCGCTAGCCTGCCTCTTGTATGGCCCAGGTCCGATAATTTCACACGTTTATCCCTGTATTGAACCCAATCTTCCAGAACAGCATTCAGGCCTAGTCTACACTAACCCTCACCGTCAACCTACTTCAGCTATGCAAACAGCGTAGCTGACGTCGATGCACTTACCGCGGCATCTTGCGCGCAGTAAGGTCGGTGGGGGATGCTCTCCCATCGATGCCAGGAACTTCTCTCGTCCTGGTAGAATAGCGGCAGAGCGCTCGGAGATCAATTTATCGTGTCTAAGCAGACCTGATAAATCAATGGCCGGGGGATTGATCACTCCGGTGTCAGTTCCCGGGCATCGTGGAGACAAGCCCCCAGCTTTGATCTGAAGATGTAGAGAGGTCACTTCCCTTCGTAATTTCTTCCATTGATTCGACCAACCTCACTGTTTAAAAAAAAATAATCTGCTTGGCTTTAACGCTCCAATCACTAATTCTTGTCCTGACCTAGTTAAAGGGACGATTTATCATAGAATCATAGAATACTAGGACTGGAAGGGACCTCGAGAGGTCATCGAGTCCAGCCCCCCGCCCTCAAGGCAGGACCAAGCTCCGTCTACACCATCCCTGACAGATGTCTATCCAACCTATTCTTAAATATCTCCAGAGAGGGAGATTCCACCACCTCCCTTGGCAATTTATTCCAATATTTGACCACCCTGACAGATAGGAATTTTTTCCTAATGTCCAATCTAAACCTCCCCTGCTGCACTTTAAGCCCATTACTCCTTGTCCTGTCCTCAGAAACCAAGAAGAACAAATTTTCTCCTTCCTCCTTGTGACACCCTTTTAGATATTTGAAAACCGCCATCATGTCCCCCCTTAATCTTCTTTTTTCCAAACTAATGTTTGCTTCTCTCCCATTGTTTTCAGCTGAACCACGACTTGTATGAGGTGATGAGCAAGCTGGAAAAGCAGCATTCCAACAAAGTCTTCATCATTAAAGGGGTGTCCAGGTAAACGGCTTTCCGGTTTCCACCGTAGAGGGATGCTAAGTATCAGACAAGGGGAGCTCAGGATTCCACATTCGTTAGCTCACATAACATTTTTCAAAGTATCTAAGTGAGTCAGGCTCCTAGTCAGGCAGGTATACACTTACCCTGAGATAAACCATAGTTTGATTTAGCAGGTCTGGTAAAGATCTACTAAATCGACTGCTGATGGTACCCCCATCAATCTCAGGACTCCACAGTGTCGCAAGGAGTAAGGGAAGTCGACTTGTTTGTCTTAGCGATTGGCTGAACAAGAAGTAGGACTGAGTGGACTTGTAGGCTGTAAAGTTTTACTGGGAGGTGAAGAAGAATCTCACTTGGTCCATCATTACCTCAGTGAATCTTGGTGTACCTAAAATCTCGCCTTCCAGGAGGGCAAGCTCACAGATTTCAGCTAATGTAATGCACTGCTTAACATGTGACCAAGCCTTCGCACCTCCGGCCAAGAGAAAATAAGTCTGTCACAGCTCAAAGCTAGGGGCATTTGGCCTTTAGCTCAAGCAGCCCAGTCTCTCACTACAGAGGTCGCTGGTTCAGTCCTGGGGCGAGCTGGCAGCCATGCCATGGGGAGTTGTTAAAGATGGCTGGTGATGCAGGAAATGTGCATTGTGGTGGTTGCTTGGAGCCTATGGCAAGTCGTGCTTCTGGGCTTACACGTGATGGGACAGGTAGGGGGCAGCATCCTGGCGTAGATGCATGGTACGCAGGTGATGTGCACCACAGAGAGACAAGTAAATGCACTGCCTTCCCTCCTGCAGCAACAGGCGCTCGCTGGTCATCTCCGCCCCGGTGCGCAGTCCTCCGCCTGTGCTTTTCACCTCACCGGCTATGGCAAGTCGTGCTTCTGGGCTTACACGTGATGGGACAGGTAGGGGGCAGCATCCTGGCGTAGATGCATGGTACGCAGGTGATGTGCACCACAGAGAGACAAGTAAATGCACTGCCTTCCCTCCTGCAGCAACAGGCGCTCGCTGGTCATCTCCGCCCCGGTGCGCAGTCCTCCGCCTGTGCTTTTCACCTCACCGGAAAATGCTGCGGATGGGCTCCCGCCACTGTCTCCTGACAATTCCACCGGGAGCGCTAGAGCACCTAAAACA